ATCTTTTTTTCCTTTTTTCTGCTTTTTATTGGTGACTTCACTGTTTATATGGCTCCCAAATGTAGCGCTGGGGTGCTGTCTGGTGTTCCTACATACAGGAAGGCTGGAAATGTGCTTTACAGAGAAAATACGTGTGTTAAATAAGCTTCCTTCAGGCACAAGTTACAGTGCTATGGCTCTGAGTTTAGTATTAATGAATCAACAATATATATTAAATAAGTTGTCTTTAAACAGAAACACACACAAAACAAGAGTATGTATTGATCTGTTGACAAAGATGCTGTGAGCAGAGGTTCACAGGAACCTCACCCTGTATCTCCCCAGGAACAGTGGTTCAGTATTTGCTAATTCAGGGTTCACAATGACTTTGTAGAAAAGAATTGTCATGAAAAATAAGAATCAACTGGAATTTGCTTAAGATCACAAAGCTCAGAGTAGAAATCTATTCTTTCTGATTCCAGAACCAATGTTCTTTCCACCTGTTCTGGAAGATGGAGGTCCTTCCAGGTCATCCCACAGTGAATGTTACCATCAGTTTACATGTGCTAGAAAACTGTATCTATAAAGAGCCATTTTCAAACTGCTGGTCAAATAAATGTTACTCATATTTAAAACCAAAGAATAAAAAACCACTCCATAAGAAGGAGCTAGTTGTTTTTCCCTCTGGCTTGCAACATTGTCAAGACAACGTGCTCATTATCCACAGGTGCAGAGGTGCTTTCCTCCACAAAGCAATGGTGCCTGGCATTTGCGGTACTGGACAGTGCTTTGCAAACCAGTCGACATTGAGGTTGGGTTTAAGTGGCAGTGACATGGCTGTCTGTGTCGTGCCAGGCCATCTGTCCCAGCCCTGATCCTCTGGATTTAAGAATGCGGGACCAGGAGGCCCAGAAAGGCAAGCCCCATGGGTTCACAGGTCAGTCAACGAGGAATGGCTGAGCTCCCATTCAGAGAAAAACACAAGAGCAAGAATCCAGGAGAAAGACAATCTTATAAATTACCTTCACTCCTAGACCAGCCCAAACTATTCTGAGTATTTTTCTTTTCCTTTCCTTTTATTGTTTTGAGAAGACAATACAGCTTTGCAATGCAGTCCTTGGTGGTGCAAAAAACATTAACTGTGTGTGTTTAAGTCTGAGTGATATAGATGGAAAAACCACCAGTACAAAGAGGATATTCATTCCTGTACACCCCAAGATGCAATTTCATGCTTTTATAACTTTAATGTTTTTACAAGTAGACCCAACTTTTGCAGGAATACTCTTGTCAGAAAGGACATTACAATGTGCTATCCAAGAGGCTCTTTTCTCCTGTTAGCCATTATGAGCTAATTTAACTACATTAAAATCCTGCTGGGTATGTGTCTAGAAATATAAAAGAAAATCAAGACCAGTAGCAGAAAATGCTGTCTGCTCTGGATCCTGCAGTTCCATTAAATATATTACCACTTCCCCCAGTGTAAATGTACATTCACACACATATTCATATACACAGGAAAAAACTTTTACTTTTATTTAATAAATATGATTGTATACTCAGTCGTGTCTGCCTCTTCGCGGCTCCATGGATTGTAGCCCATTATGCTCCTCTGTCCGTTGGATTTCCCAGGCAAGAACACTGGAATGGGGTGCCAGGCCTCCTCCAGGGGATTTTCTCAACCCAGGGATCAAACCTGCATTGGTGGATTCTTTACGACTAGCGCCACTATACTGCATAATAAATTCAATATTTTCAATAAATTGAAAGATGAGTTATAGCAAAGGTGGATATGTGTTCCAAAAAGGTTTTGTGAGTACTGATTTCACTGTGATTAATATTTTCATAAATCTTCAGCAAACTACTTAAACTATCTCTCACTTTCAATTTAGTAGGATATACCTACTCATACACTGGAATCAAGTACTCCTAATATGACACTTTGTCCCAAATGAATAGTGAAAATTCAAAAGAAAAAAAAATCCTGTGAGAGATCGGGTCCCATGAGGTATAAATTATAAGTTAATATATCATCAAGGCAATTTTAAAATAACTTTTTGGATTATAATGACATGTATTGATGGGCCTACAAAATAATGATAACCAAGATTAGATAGTGTGGAAAGTATCTTTATTGAGCTCATTTTCTGTGACCAATTTCCTATTTCATAATTTAAAAAAATTTTGACCTAATAAATTAATATAGCTTAGCCACCTCTGAAGGGAATTACTACTTATGACCATGTCTTTTTCTTACCAAAATGTAGTTGAATATTGCCTATGCCAAAAATTCATTTAATTAGATGTGACAGAGAAACAAAAACTATAGTTCTCCATTATTATGGAACAAAGGCTACATCTACAAGTCTTCCTGCTGCTGCTAAGTCACTTCACTTGTGTCTGACTCTGTGCAACCCCATAGACAGCAGCCCATCAGGCTCCCCTGTCCCTGGGATTCTCCAGGCAAGAACACTGGAGTGGGTTGCCATTTCCTTCTCCAATGCATGAAAGTGAAAAGTAAAAGTGAAGTCGCTCAGTCCGACTCTTAGCGACCCCATGGACTGCAGCCTACCAGGCTCCTCCATCCATGGGATTTTCCAGACAAGAGTACTGGAGTGGGGTGCCATTGCCTTCTCCACAAGTCTTCCTAGGGAAACCTATGTGCTCTATGACTTTTGATATTCAACCTCATGCAGTAAAGAATGTCACTTCCTGGCAATCCAGTAATATTAACAAATGTGGGAGTCTTAGAGAAAATAATACTGATAATAATGATAAAATCTTTTTCACTCATGAAAGTAATTTACAACTCTTGAGGCTTTACAAAGCCTCCAGACAGATGTTAATTCTAAAGCTTTACTATCATGTGGCTCTAGCTTCATTATATACAAAAAGAAAGTATTTACATATTAGTCAATACCTCTTGTCACACCTATATAAATTAACTTGCTCAAATAAAACAATGTATCAATTAAATAAGTCATGATAATTTTATTCCTCTTACCAAGTAACTAGTGAAGGTATGACTATTGATAGATTCTGGTCAGTGACTACTAGCAAAAATCTGACTGGAAGTAGGGAGATAGTATGGAAAAGATATCTTTGTTAACAAAAAGAGACACACAGAAAATCCTCTCTCCTTCTGCTATTATCACAGCTAGTTGTGGTGACAGGAACTGCTGCAGCCATTTTGCAACCATGAGGACAAGCCACAATGCTAAGCAGTAATGAATCTTAGGTTCTTGAGCCAGACCTACTGTTATATGTGATGCATTTTCTTTTCTTTTTATATGCCAGCATTTATTTCTTTTTAATTAAACTTCTAATTTTGTATTGGGGTATAGCTAGTTAACAAAATGTTGTTGATAGTTTCAGGTGAACAGAGAAGGGACTCAGCCATACTACGGTTTCTTTTTTGTTTAAGTCAATTGAACTGGGGATTTTCTTTCTCTTGTAGCACGAACCAGATGTTCTATTAAAAACCCCAATTAACTTTATTACCATCAAGATTCTGGAGCTAAAAGTGATCAAACCAGGTAAACAGTACCAACAATGTAAAGTGTCCTGGACACTGTATTTGCTCTCAGAGATTTCATAATGGAAGATATGTATATAAGTAGAAGGAGAGAGTGTTGCAGGGCATATATGTGGCATTAAAATAGTAAGGGCCAAAATGTAGCCCCTGGATCCAGATAGAAAAGATTCTAACATCCCCAAGGAACATAACAGAGGTGAGGTGAACTAGCAAATGCTTCCAAGGATATAGTTAAAAGCTCATGTGATGAGAAAAATCATAATACAGAGAAGCATCTTCAGAAACATGTATTACTTTCACCTGTGACAAGACCACAAGTGACATAAAACTGTGTTTCTATAATGCATACACATTAGGAAGAACAAAGCCTGAGGTTCTTGCTTTGTGTAGAGACAGTTGTGCTCCTCAAGATAGCTTACTGCTCACTAGGTGCCTTGGAAAAGACCCTTATGGCAAGCTCCAGAGGTACACAGCAACCCTTGGAAGCTTCCCAGGTGTCACTAGTGGTAAAGAACCTACCTGCCTATGCAGGAGATGTAAGAGATGCAGATTCAATTCATGGGTCTGGAAGATCCCCTGGAGGAGGGCATGGCAACCAACTCCAGTATTCTTACTTGGAGAATCCCAGAGAGAGAGAAGCCTGGCAGGCTTCATTCAGTCTATTGTGTCGCAAAAGAGTTGAACATGACTGAAGCAATCTGGCATGCTAGGGCTTATTTCTCAGCACACAAGCAATCTTGTTTTATATGACATGGTAATTTCATGTAACATCAGGAGCCTCTAGCAGTTCTTCTGTTTTTGTATATAAGGAACCCCCTTCATTTTTGTTTCAGAAAAATAATGTTCCCTAATGGACATAGAACAACAGACTGGGTCCAAATTGGGAAAGGAGTACATCAAGGCTGTATATTGTCACCATGCTTATTTAACTTATATGCAGAGTACATCATGTGAAACGCCGGGCTGGATGAAGCACAAGCTGGAATCAAGATTGCCGGGAGAAATATCAGTAACCTCAGATATGTAGATGACACCACTCTTATGGCAGAAAGCAAAGAAGAACTAAAGAGCCTCTTGATGAAAGTGAAAGAGGAGAGTGAAAAAGTTGACTTAAAACTCATAATCAAAAAACTAAGATCATGGCATCCAGTCCCATTACTTTATGGCAAATAGATGGGGAAACAATGGAAACAGTGAGAGACTTTATTTTGGGAGGCTCCAAAATCACTGCAGATGGTGACTGCAGCCATGAAATTAAAACATGCTTGTTCCTTGGAAGAAAAGCTAAGGACCAACCTAGACAGTATATTAAAAAGCAGAGACATTACTTTGCCGACAAAGGTCCATCTAGTTAAAACTATGGTTTTTCCACTAGTCATGTATGGATGTGAAAGCTGGACTATAAAGGAAGTTGAGCACCAAAGAACTGATGCTTTTTTTTTTTTTTTTTTAACGAATGAGGCAATTTATTAACCCAGCATCATTTGTTCTAATGCTTCTTGTTGGCAGTTGCCACCTGTCCAGCGATTCTGTCCAGATCTCTCTGTCCCTGAGGCGTCAGTTTGCGGCCCCCATCTTGGTCCTTTTCCACCATTTTCAGCCCCTCCAGGGCTTAGAGGACCTGCCGGGCCACACTCTTGGAGCCTCTGCTGAAGTGGCTGGGCATGATGCCGTTCCTCTGACACCCACCATAGATCTTGGTCATGGAGCCAACCCCAGCGCCACCCCGGAGGTACAGCTGCCGTGCCGTGGAAGCAGCTCGTGTGTAGAACCAGTTCTCATCGTAGGGAACAAGTTCTTTATGCTTGGCCAGCTTGACGGTGTCCACCCATTCAGGGACTTTCAGCTTCCCGGACTTTTTGAGGAAGGCTGCCAGAGCTCTGACGAACTCCTGCTGGTTCACGTCTTTTACAGTAACTCCAGGCATCGTGCGGCCTCCGCGCTGCCAGCCAGGGGAAAGAGAACTGATGCTTTTGAACTGTGGTGTTGGAGAAGACTCTTGAGAATCCCTTGGACTGCAAGGAGATCAAATCAGTCAATCCTAAAGGAAATTAGTCCTGAATATTCACTGGAAGGACTGATGCTGAAGCTGAAACTCCAATCCTTGGGCCACCTGATACAAAAGAACTGGACTCATTTGAAAAGACCCCGATGCTGGGAAAGACTGAAAGCAGGAGAAGAAGGGGACAACAGAGGATGAGATGGTTGGATGGCATCACTGATTCGAGTTTGAGGAAGCTCCAGGAGTTGATGATAGACAGGGAAGCCTGGCATGCCGCAGTCCATGGGGTCGCAAAGAGTCAGACATGACTGAGCAACTGAGCTGACTGAATGGAAAGATATATTAAAGATTACTGGGTCTAATCAACCACTTCATACAAGGAATCTAAGGCTGAGAGAAGTCTTGTGACTTTTTCAGGATCTCAAGCCAACACTAGAACCTACATCTGTTCTCTCACCCACAATATACTCTTGCTCCCAATAAACATAGTTTGACTTAATCTGCCAATAATTCATTTTGTCAATATTATTTTTACTTTGATTGTATATTCAAAGATGGTAACAACTTTATTTACAACCAACTGGGAACTAATTTGGTTTTCAGACTCTTTTTTCAGTTGAGTGGTAGAGCAAAAACTAAAAGCCCCAGGATCTACTGTATAGCACAAAGAACTCTACTCAATACTCTCCAATGCCCTATATGGGAAAAGAATCTAAAAAGGAGTGATATATGTATACGTATAACTGAATCACTTTGCTGTATACAAACTAACAACACTGTAAATCAACTATACTCCAATAAATTTTTTAAAAATAATAATTAAACCCTGACAAATAACCACAAAGAAGATAAATACTAAAAAGGTATAAATCTAATAAATGTGTATACTCTTTGCTACTCTCTCATAATGCCAGGTCCTTCAAAATAATATTTCAGGTTTGAAAAGTTTCAATATTAGAAATATTCACAGAAATTATTCTTATTAACCTCAGAGGTGTTCTTACCACACATGTATATATGATCAGTGGTCCTCTAGGTCCACAGAGATTAGCCAGCAGTTAATGTTTACATACTGTTGACACAAACCTAATCGTATCTGATAAGTAGCTCAACAAAGCTCATGTAATTAATGAAGCTGATGCTTTTTGCTAAAATTTAAGGATGTCTACAGGCTTCCAATGGTAAAAGCTGACCTTACAAACTGCCAGTTTTATACACCCAGCTGCAATTGTTTGAATGGCAAGACTGCCATTTCAATGTTAAATGCATTGATCTGGCAACCTCATTGCAAGTTGATCTATGAAAGATTAATTGAAAACTGTGTTGCATGATGGATAATCCTTACGTTATAGAATAACTCAATTGCAAGATCTCTAAGAGGTGTTCTGAAAGTCTCACAGTTTGTCACAGGCTCTTGCTTGGCATAAGTGACTATTGTTAAGGCTTGACAACTGTTAGCTGTACAGAGATTCAAGTTGTTTAACTGGCTTGGAGCATCATCATTTGAATTCACTTAAACACTTTTGCCCTGAGAATCAATTAGCAAGTGTTCAGTGTCTCTTGGACTCTGGCATCCTATTATATTCTCTAGATGGGTAAATATATTTAGGCGCATATAAAATGCCACTTCTCAATTTCCAAACAAGCTTACTCCGTTTTTAATTAAACTTCTCGGAGCAGTTTGTCAACCTTGGCATTTACACACAGAACACTGACAATTATGTAAAGATTCTTAAGAGATTTGTTTAGAATGTTTCGAGCTAAGAAGCACAATGCCAGAGAAAGGGCAAAATGAAAACACTAATGCGGTCTTGCTCACATCACAGCTCTGGAAACAAAAGCTGTTCAGCAGAGCATTCCCACAGATGGGAATTGTGCTCACTCTTGACATCACCCAGCAGACCGAGGGAGAGGGAGGGAGCCACGGGGAAGGGGAGACACGTTGAAAGCAAGGCCAGGCACACTGGCACTCTTCCTGGCGAACTGTACAATTTATTTCTGGAAAAATATTTAGAAACCCCGGTAAGAACAAACAGTATCCACTAGGGGCCTAGTGCTTAGAGCTAGTGTCACCGGCGAGGCCTATTAACAATTCCTGGGAAATAAAAACAGTCTAGGTAATAAAATAAATGAGTCTAACCTTCCCCCCACCCCTTTTCCTTTGTGCTTAGTCTCGTCTCACCCGCTCACAGGGGGCCGCATGCAGAGGCCGCGGACGCAACACTTCAGTCCGGTGTTCAGTCCAGCATTCCCGGTGAAAAATGACACGCTGACACAATTCCGCGTGTAGAAGCATCGGGAGCAACAACTCAGCCCAAGATGGCGGCGGTGGCGGGCCGTGTGCAGAGAGGCTGCCCCGGACACGGTTTGTGAGGCAAGACCGGCACAGCCCTGCGGCCTCGCGAGAAGCCCTAGCCCTTCCCGGTGACCGGCTCTCTGTATAGCAGCCCCGCCTTCTGAGAGAGCGAGGCCTCAGGGCAGGGCGTTCGCCTGTCCACTCTGATCAATTAACAAGACTTTCCTTTGCTTCAGAACCAAATTTGGTCTCGTTCTGCTGGTGCGAGGGGCCCCAGGCACGGACCCGGCTGGAAAGGTCGGTAACACTAGCCCAACAGTCCTATCAGAAGGATACAGGGAGATGAAGGCAGGGAAGCAGAGTCAGAGATAGGACTAACGCTGATACTACGTTCCGATAAAGGGAAATGCAGCAGCTTGTAAATCTCATTCTCTGAAACAGAAATGTCACCTGGGTTGTGGGTATAGATGAAGTCAGGAGAGTAACTCTCAGCAGGTGTTGCAAGCCATTTCCAAGGGTCTCTTCTTGCTCTTGTGGACACACAGGGCTGCTCCCATGCAGGCTCCCTGGGCACTGAGCCTCCATCCGCTGGCACCTTAAGTGTCCAAGGGGCGGAGCGCCGCCTTGGAGGACCTACACCCTCCTGTCTGCCATTGCCGCTCCTCGGACACGCACAGTTCACTCAGAGCTCCACAAAGAAATAACATCTTCCTTCCCTTTTTAGGTGACATCCAGTCAGAGGTGTTCCTAATCAGCACAGCTCTTCTCCCAGGGACTTGCAGGGTTTTGGTCACAGAGCTGTTGGCTGTTTACTTCCAGGCCTCTGTTTAGTGCACAGACTTGGGCCAAGAGCTGGTCAAGTGAGAAAAACTGCAAACCCTGCTCAGAAATCCTCTCCTGGGAACCAGAGCTCCAGGGTTCAGGGCATGGGCTGCCTCATTCTCCTTGGGTTGAAGGGTCTTGACTCCAGCACACTGGGCTCTTGTATCCACCCTCCCCTGTAAATCCAACAGATACCCACAGAGACATCAGAGTCCAGAATTAGGAGAGATATTTGCCATATGTTTCTCCTCTATATCTCATTTTAACACCCTTACTAGATAAACAAGAATGTATATAATGTGCTGACAGGGTAATAATAAATGAAATGCCTGTTATAAAACCACCCTACTTAAGAAGTAGAACACTCACTACTATCCTGTCTGTGGTGTTCCTTTCCTGTCCCAGGCTTGGGCTCCTAGCAGGTATAACCTTTCTTGAATGTCGGTTTTCTCATTTTCTTGATTTTTTTACATATACAGTTTTATCACATATGCTTATACTCTCTTATTCCTAATTTTAAAAAGAATGCTTCTAATAATTCCTTATGGAAAATATTTGTTATTGGCAGATATTCTTTATCAGATTAAGGCAATTCTACTTCACTAAGAGCTTTTATTTAGAGTATTTAATTTTCCCAAATGCTTTTTCTGCCTCTATTGAAATGATCACATGTTTTCTTTTTCTTTTACTCTATTAAAATGAATCCCTGGAATAAACCCAGAAATTTGAAAGCCCATTGGTTTATTTCTTCTTTTTTTTTTTTTCATTTATTTTTATTAGTTGGAGGCTAATTACTTTACAATATTGTAGTGGTTTTTGCCATACATGTACATGAATCAGCCATGAATTTACATGTGTTCCTGTTTCTTCTTTTTAAAATATGACTGGCTCAGTTGTTAATGTTTGTTTAGGATTTTTAATCTACATTCATGTAATTGACCTGAGGTTTCCCATGATATATTTGCATGGTCTTGATATCTAACTTATAACAATGTCATAGCTTATGTCATGATTTAGAGTTTCCTAAAACTCTGATAGGACTTGCCTATAATTAATTAGAGCCCTTGCTTTAGGGATATCTTTACTGATTCTCTATAATTCTAGTTTTACTTTCTTTTTTCCTGTTTTTTTTCTTCAGAACTTGTCAATGTTATCTAAATTTTCAAGTTAATTGGCACAAAGTTGTGCATGATATTTTCTTGTTATCTTTTAAGTCTTTTCTGTGTCTATACATATGTCCCCCTTTTCATTCCCTACCTTATTTGTGCCTTTTCCATTAATGTATCTAAATTAATTAACAGATTCTTTATAAAGAATCAATTGTTGGCTTTAAGTCTGTCAGATGTTTTTCTGTTTCTTTGCTTTCTACTCTTCCTTCCTCATACTTTTTAAAGAATTATTTTATTTTATAGTATCTTGTTGCTTAGTTGCTAAGTCATGTCCAGCTCTTTTGCAACCCCTTGGCCTGTAGCCCATCACGCTTCTCTGTCCATGGAATTTCCCAGGCAAGGATACTGGGGTGTGTTGCCATTTTCTTCGCCATCCTAGGATCTTAAGTTAGGAGTTTTGCTTACTAATTTTCAGACTATTCTAATGTAACATTTAATGCTATAAATCTAAGTATTGCTTTTGCTCCATCTCATAACAGCTGATATCTATTATCATGGATGATACTAAAATTTTAAATCTCCCTTATGATATATTCTCTCAGTCCTCAGATGTATGGAAAATTTAATCTTATCTTTATGGAATTTTAGTCAGAAAACAAAATGTGGTTTACATAATATCAGTTCTTTGAAATTTGTTG